TATTTTTTTATAAGAACTAGGAGTGATTATCATTCTCTTTAAAACACCTTTAAATTTGTCAAATGGCAATCTGTTTAAGAGTTTGAAGAGAAAGAGCTGAAAATGTTTCAGAGATAAATTTTATTTTTCTTGCAGGAGCTACATGCCCTAGTAACATGTTTCAATGCGTAGACGGGACGTGTATCCCATGGTCGTCCACTTGTCGCCGTTACAACTACCCGGTTTGTCAAGATGACACACACCAACCATCAATTTGCAGTGAGTGTTTTAAGACATGCGCATGAAGACCTTTAAACTTTACCCTACTTTGGTTCACGGAACGTCCATACAACTGAGCGGAATGGTTAAAATGACAGAATTTGTTAAAAGATGTAAGCGAATTTGCTCAATAATGTACTATTAATTCCACAGCAGCCAATGATTGTCCGCTGAACAACCTCAAATGTAAAGACAACAGCTCCTCAAGGAATTGTGATAAGTACTTTAGAGGTAAACAAACTTTATCATCATGTATACAACTGGCTGATTTCCATAATTCAAATCATAGAAACAGTACACAACTCGGGGAAACTGCTATGATTTTTTGCAAATAAAGACGTGACATAAATGCAAATGAATTGCTATCAGCATTTTTTGTACTCTTCCTTTAGGTCACTGCAGTTTTGAAAACGGCTTTTGTGGACTGAAACATGACAAAAATACTGAATCTCAGTGGCTATTGAATTCTGGAAAGACCTCTTCGGCGCATACTGGTCCAAGTTATGATCACACCACATTTTCTGAAAAAGGTAGGTTATCCTGGTCTAGCCTCTTTCATCACAGAGGGGAAGCTTCTTTATGAAAATGTACTCATTGTTTTTTAAGGTGCCTACATCTACATAGAAGCCTCAAACCGTCTCCATGGTGATCGAGCGCGTCTGACAAGCGATTGGTTAAAGCCGAATAAGATTATTTGTCTTCAGTTCTGGTATCACATGTTTGGCAAACACATAGGAGAGCTGATTGTTTACATGGCTACTCACAGTTCGGAAACGATTGTTTGGCATGTCTCAGGAAACCAAGGAAACTCTTGGTTGCTGGCACAGACGACATTACAAGCTGACAGCCGTTATAAGGTTTAGTTGATGACACAGTTAGATGACCAAATCTCATCTTACGCCTGTCAATGTAGTGATATCGAAAAATGCTGAATTAGTTAAATTTTTTTTAAATTTAACAATTTCTCTTTAATTTTCAACTCAGTGAACTTTAATATTTTATTTAGTTTATCCTAGAAGGAGTTTCTGTAGAGGGAAATGAGGGAGATATAGCCATAGATGACATCACAGTCCTGGATGAAAGCTGTCACACAAACAACAAATGGGGTAATGGAATTAATTTAAGTCCAGTCTTACCCTATGTAGATATACAGTGCAAAAGATCTCTCCATCACACTACATCTATGCTCTTTCAAAGCTGGTTTTCACCGGCGACAAAATCGGGGTCAAATACAAAATAACTTAATGAAAATCAGATAGCCACTTCTTTTATAATCTGAACCATATTAGGAAACGCCGGCAAAAACGAAAACATGATAAACAACATGATAAAATACTTGAAGAAATAAAAACTTTCGATTCTCGCTACTAAGATTCTGGGTGGCTTATGATGATGTCGTACTTTTGTGTTGTGCAAACTCTATTCTTACATCTAAAATGTTTAGTTTGCATTACTACAGATCCACACTGCTATTTTGACGACAAAATATGCAACTGGGACATGGATGGATCCTGGTTTCTGAAAGAACTCAGCGGAAGCCGAAAAGGTTTTTAAAATTTTCCTTTTTGTCAAAGCCATGCAGGAGATGTCAGTGGAACTAAAACTTTCCTCTGTCATATAATGTAGATATGGGTCACCCACATCTACGTCCAATGACTAATCAGAAATTCGACAAGTAGCTGGTTCCAAACGTAGGAAAAAAAAAGCCATGTGACTTTCTCCTCTATGATTATCATTTGAACATTTCTCAGTGTTAGATGTCCTTTTATCTTTGGTTTGTTTTCATGCAGAATAATAACCTGAATTTTAATTGCAAATAAACTGGAAAATTGAGGATGATTTATTGAGTAGTCCTATCGTGCAAGTTCAAACTGTCATTTTCAATTGCATTGAAGTTCCTCACGATACATCGCCATTAAAAGGGCTGGGATAATTAACAAATATTCACCTCAGTGTCGGTGGCTAGTATTGAAAACACTAGGGAATATTTCTTTTAGTATATACTAAAACAGTTGGAAAAAATAGCGCAAAAAGTGATTTTAACTCATTTATTCTTTCAACGATTACAATATATTCAGGCGCAAATCCCGCGCGAGTAGTTTAAAGGTGAATAGCAGAGGATATTCGGAGTTTGAGTAGCCAATCAGAGCGCATCTTTAACATTATTCACTTTTTTAGTGAATACTAACGATGATTAGTATTACAGGCAAGGGTCTACTCATATAAATGTGCAATATTTACATAGACAAAAAAATGTTTCAACAATAGTTGTTATTCTGTAGGTGGCTTCCTTAGTTTAAGGCCAGAGGGCAAGACAGTAAAGGGAACAATAACTTCCCCCGTGTTTAGCGGCAACGAATGGAAGTGTATGCGCTTCTGGTACAGAATCGAATCGGGACGTGACGTCCAATTAAGAGTATTCCTAAATGTATCAGATGCATTACAACAGCTTTGGACAACATCTCATAGAAAAACTGGTTGGAACTTTGTTCAGCTGCCAATCGACGCCGAGGGAACAACCCAGGTGAATATTATGTACATAAACCTCATTCTTACTACTCAGACGTTCATGGCAGTTTCGAAAACACAGTGTTTATTTGCCCTACCAGATACTGGGTAACAACTTATCCGACGAGAACAAGTACCTTGACCGTGTTTTTTCAAAGAACAACTACAACGAGGACTTCATCCAACGTAACACTCAGCGACCTACTACTACTACCGAAACTAACGACAACGTAACTCCTACGACTACAGAAACTATACCGTACATAAGGGGCATATCTGAGAACATCTCGCACATCCCACAACCATTCAATTCCAGAACCGGATGCTGAACAGTTTTTCTCTAGAATCAGTCATTACTCTCTTATTAATTGTTCGTACTCTGAGTCACGGCTTATCTCACAAAGACCTCCTTTTATTGTCAGATCGCAATAGCCGGTACATGTCGAGAAACTTCTATTGATATCGATGATGTATCCTTCAGTAAACAGCGCTGTAATGAAATACCATGGGCTCCCTATCAGGGTATGTATTAGACACCCGAGATAACTTTTGCCTGGTTTTACGACACTCAACAGATCCTAATGAGCGTGAATTATTTCGGCTGACGTGATATTATAGATTATCATCAGGAAGCTTTCTTACAGCGAGAGAAGGGAAAAGAGCCAAATTTAACTGTTTTGCTGCTCTTGTTCAAGATAATGTGAAATGTGTGAGTGTAACCAGGTAACACGAGTAAAATATCTGGAAATTCGTGTTATATTTCAAATGGCAGGTTACGGATTAACCTTCTAGTACAGAAAAATGTAACGAACGACGTCACTTAATAGATTGTGCTGGTTCCATTGTTCATATTTTTACTATTTCTTGTTTAGAATTTCTTCCTCCTTTACTTCCTGGCTGTCTGAGCCCTCTTGGGATGCAAAACGGCCGAATATTGAACTCTGCAATAACAGCTTCATCTTACTACAGAAGAAGGTCGGCTCCTAACAGAGCGAGGCTTCACATGGCTTTACCTGATAAATATATCTCAGGTGGTTTCACAGGGGGCTGGTGTCAGAATCCTAGTTCAAAGTACCAGTGGCTTCAAGTTGACTTTGGTTTCATAGCAAGAGTAGGCAAGGTTGCTACTCAAGGAAAACAGGAATTTGATTTCTGGGTTACAAAATATTTCCTAGCTTATAAACGAGACAGTAAGAGAAAGCGGTTGCTATATCGACAACATGGAAACGTAAAGGTAGGACGATTGAGATGTGTGGTTGTATTTGGCAGATGAAATGACTTACGCTTGTGCAGTTTAATTAGCTGCAAAATTTCACAATCTTTCTGGTCCATCAAAGCCTGCGTGGCAAAAGGCATTCGATTTAATAACCGAGTGAAAATCCAATTTTAAGGTATGCATCATAATTAGCGATGTATTCTATACAAAACGAATGTTAACCGTCACTGCTCTCCTGCAGGTATCACAGCGACTTCAACCTCACATCAGTATTAAAATTTTTACCATTTAAATTCCTAACGATCTTTAAGACAAAAGGTTCAGTTGGACAAAACTTTTCATGTAGTTGAGTTGTCTACAAATTTAAAGATGCCGCTTTTCAGAACTGTATTTTGGTAGCCGTACTTTCCTTATAGAACCGTTATCGCGCCCGTGCGCCGAGTCAAGACACGAGTATCTCTGTAATAAATGATTAAAAACATCAGTCTATTCTCTAATCATTTGTTCGCATAGCCCTGTTGGATTTAAGGAGCTGTTAATCATGTTTATGGTATATTATTCAGTTTTTTACAGAAAAGCCCTGAACGGGAAGTCTTCTAAAAACCTGTCTTCTTCATGTGATAATCTTTTACCTTAATTTGCTCTATTCCCATGTAAACCAAACAAAGTTCACATTCTGAATCTATTTTTTACTTGTAATTCTGTAGATATTTGATGGTAATTTTGACCGACATACAGTGGTAAGCCACCATCTTGTCCCTCGTATCACCGCCCAGTTTGTCAGAATTTACCCATACAGATTCAATCAGTTTGGCTGTCTTCGAGTTGAATACTATGGATGTCCGGCTGGTGCGTTATATTTCAATTCCTCTAGAACAAAGTTGATTGGAATACTCAATTAACCATATTATTTTTCCGTTGTTGTTTCCTTTTATCTTTTTAACAGATAAAGTTAATATCACTCGTGGAATTCCGCTCTGTTATGCTCCCCTGGGAATGCAAAATGGACAGATACCCAACGCATCTGTAACAGCATCGTCAAACTTCGGCTCCGCTCACCGCGCGCGGCTGTACACCGTAGCAGAGGGTGGTAAACCTGGAGCCTGGGTGGCCGCCGTATCAGACACGAACCAGTGGCTTCAGGTGAAACCATGCATTGTTCTACCGTAAGCATTTACGGAAACACGGCGACTCATCCTGTTAGGAGAATTTTAAAGTGATAGTTGAGAGTTATTCCGTATCGCATTGATTTTACTCTAGTACGTTATGTGAGATCATAGTAGTTGAAAGACAACAACAAATTTCTTTACCAACATAGTCTCATTATTTTAGTGCGCCTGCGTAGCACGTATAAAGTAAAGGCTTGGGTTCGCGAGTAGAGATAACATCTGAGAGACTGTGAGAACTAATGTGTGATATTTTCTGTCTTTTATTGGGCAAATCACCATCTAAGAACGCCAGGACTCTTAATAACTGAAGCCATCGGACTCTTTGTCGTATACATAATACAAGACACCTTTCAAGATATTGGCAATTTTTTTATGAGCCAGTCTTTTGCTTTGAAAAAGTATATCATAAACGCCAAAATTTTATTTTTGTTTACAGATCGACCTCGGAACTCTTGCCATGATAAAACGTCTGGATACTCAAGGACGACACGGGGTTTCCGAATGGGTCAGCAGTTTTACCCTATCCTACAGTTCAGTGGAAAGCAACTTCAAATTTTATGCTCAGGTATACGTGGAGAACAATTCATCTTATTTATCGAGTTTCTTTAATCTGTGAAATTTTTCCCCTTCATTTCTGCATTTGCCCAATCATTTTACAGCTTAAAATGGTAACACTGCGATACAATCACTAAGTGTACAATGCCAGTTCTGCAACCCCCTTACTCACCGTGTTTTCACATGCCTTTAAGATAGTTCTTTTTGCCCGCGTGTTAAAAAAGGACCTTCACACGATGCATTTACTGTAGAACCTGGACGGCGATCTGTGACTCAAGACGAACAAATCTGGGTTTTAAACGAAGGATTCCAACAGAGCGCCCAAGGGTTCTTCAGTACATCAATGATACCTTTTTTATTTAAGAAACTGTATATTTAAATATCTTGATTAAATTTCTATAACGAAACGAAAGAGGGAAATTAACGAGGTAAAACAAACAAAAAAGGTCGCAACTTGCCCAAAATCTTAGATCTACATTTATAATCTCATTATTCAGATATTATATATTTGAAATTTCAATGATAGTCACAGAGGAGGCTAAGCGTTTTATTGCGCGGGAGTGGAGGGACTCATCTGGCAACAAATCCATTGATACTCCGTTCGCTACCGCGGTGTCATTATCAGCAGATGAGTTTGACGAGGTTGTTGCTACTTCTTAACTTGCAAAAATAGTCTTGAAATGAAGGGTCGCTTATAGTGCTTTATTTCTGTTGTTGTTAGATTTTTAAAGCTAACAGAAATCAAAACACAATAGCAGTAAACACAATCATCCCGTCCATATTGGCCAGGTTTCTTCGTATTCATCCTCGCACCTGGGTTAATGGGGTGGCTTTGAGAATTGAAATCTATGGCTGCTTTGCAGGTGATCTACTTTTATTTATTTGTTTTTGTTATTTTTCATAAAAACTGAAGTGCACTACGAATTTTGTACAAATTCTCTTCCTATAGGAGCCACTAATATAAGCCAGACCAATCCTATAACTAGAAACGAACGATAAGTTTTACCACAATTCTTTGCCATCTTCGCTCGCTTTGGTACTCGGTACTTTTTGGAAAAATTAATTCAGTTAATCATTTTTACTTTCCCATAATGCACCGATTGGTTAAAGTGATCCCGTTAATAATGTTGGACCCTGCAAGAGTCTTAGATGCCGGCTAGCTGCAGTGTAATACCTCCTCTTCAGTCAGTTTAATTTCTGTGCACTTCTTATATTTTGTGGCGGATATTTAAGTATCTGCTGGATCTAGTGCATGCACTCAAGGCGAATTTAGTAAGTCAAAGCGAACATAAGTAAGAGAGTGATCTTGTCGGTAAACTTACAATCAATTGGTTAACAGCGTGCATAAGTAGGTATGTGAGTAGATAACGTTAACGTTATTCTTCAATTCACATGTTTTTTGTTTCTTTAATAGTAAACATGTATATCGAGAAGATTATAGACAAAGGATGCTATAAGGATTATACCGACAGAACCCTTGCGTCATTGGAGACAACGAGTCCATTATTAGATGGCAGTTATATGCAAAGGGCTGCTGCCATAAGACGATGTGCAAAGGCTGCTTACGATTTGCAACTGAACGTTTTTTCGGTTCAAAACGGAGGGCAGTGTATGGGAGGAATCGGAACTCATTTAAACTATAACAGATACGGAAAGTCTACCCAGTGTCAAGAGAACGGCCGCGGTGGACCATGGGCTAATCAAGTCTATGAGATCAAAAGTAAGAAGTGGAATAAGAGAATTATGGGACAATCTTTTCATTTGAATGGCTGATAGAAATAAAAGATTCCTATTTGTCACTTTTTTCTGAGAAAAGTAATAGTGCAACTGATTTGACATGTAATCTCCTTGTCCTTGTGTCCATTAAAGATCACACTTTGAAACTGTTGGGACAAACCTATTCAAATTGGCAAAATTAAGTTTATTGAGTCTCAGAAAGGTACCTTGACGTAGGAATAAACATCTAACAGCAGCCAATCGTCAATCTCCAAGAAATTAAAACTAAAATCCACTCCATTTTGATTTTTTATGTTTTTTAAATGTTCTACTGTTGATGTTGTTTTATGTTTGTTGTTTTTGTTTTTCATGTCACTTATTAAATCAAGCAGTCTGAGATTTTACTCGTTTATTTGACTAGGAAAGTGTAATTTGTCAGATGAATGGTGTGATTGGATGAGCCAAAATGATACAAAAACAAGATGGAGTCTGGCGGAAGCGGCTGACTTAGTCAAAGCTAGCAAAGCCATTGCAGAATTTGCACATAACTTTGTAAACAAGGGTAAGACAAATATTCCTATTTGAAAATTTGCTATCTAGTGATTTTTTGTTTCTACTTGCTATTGACATCAACTTTTCTGTTTTGGCAGAAAATCTAAATGACAGACAGTATGTATTGGAAACAAGCAAGAACAGGCCACAGCGAATCACCACTCCGGTCTCAATAGGGACAAGCATTAATGCAATGACAGTATGTTATTGGTTACAGGATAACTTTGCTATTTTCTCCCTGAAATATGCATCCGGCAACGACGCTGAGGAGACGCCATCCTTCAGTTTACATCAGAGTTTAGTTGGGGTTAAAATGAATGTCAAGGAAAGTGTTATGTAAGTATCTCTATTCACTGCTTAGCTATAAAGTGGGCGCACGTTGATAGAAACTTTGACCTTCCACAACTCTTCAACAAATAGAAGGCATTTTCCCGGGTTTTCTGATAAACTAAATGTTCTTATTGAAGGAACACTCAAAAAGCCTATAAACCGTTTACCTCTCGAATAGTAGTGGTGCAAGTGCAAAATAAAGGCTATTGTGTTTTTACTTATAAGACATCCACTTTGTTTCTGTCATTATTGATACCAAATGTGTACTGCCGGAAGGAAATTAATTTACACCCCTGCGCAGGGGCTCTCTGAGTACGTCCCGTTCACTGAGTACATTTATTATTTGGTCCTGCAAAACCACCGAACTTATTTAAACTGATGACATTTCAAACACAACTGTCTATTTCCGTAGTTTATCACATTTGTCCGTGGAGAGAAATGTCTGGCATCATGTCTGTGCCTCATGGAGTTCTCAATTAGGATTCTGGAAAATTTACAAAGATGGAAAGCTCTTCGATTTTGATAGATGGCTTAGCTCCGAACAAGTAATATCTGGTGAGATGTTACCAAAAGAAATTGTTCTGACATTGTGCCACAGCTGAGTGCGACAGCTGAGTGCCACAGCTGAGTGCCACAGCTGAATCCCAAACTTGGCCTGGATGATACTTAACCCAGAGGAATTTTTTTTTCTGTTTAAATGGTTATTTTTGAGTCGTCAGATCACGAAATTCTGCCTCGTTAAACACAGAAACCGATGAAGCCAAAAATAGAATTTGAACAGGAAAAAAGAGCATGATTAGTGATGAGAGATTTGCCAATCAAAATCGCATAAAAATTTGTAGCTGAAGATGCATGTGTGAAGCTGATGATCATTGGAGGTGAACACATACTTCAACTTCAAATTCTCAATAATATGGCTCTTTAATTTGTAATTCCAGGGTCAGGAGTTACAACTATAGAATTCCAACAAGGCAATCAAACGTTCTCATCAAGATTGACTGGTGTCAATATGTGGGACCATAATCTAGGAGTGGAGGAAGTATATCGTCTTTCTCTTGGATGTGGACAAGAATCAGGAAATATTTTGCGGTGGTTTGATCTGAGGAATAAAGTGGATATGACGGAGGACGAAAAGGAGATAAAGGAGCCGGCTTGCTCGTATCGTGATGGTACAGGTCAAGTTTTCCTTCCTCAAAGGCGACGGTTGCTACCCCAATTTTCATTAAAATAAATGTGTACTTAGTTTTTGTTTCAGTTTTTAAGTTAGTAATGGTTCAACTTTCATGAAGTGTAAGTGTTCAGTCTCACTTGTCAAAGCTCACAATCCGCCACAAAATTTTCAAAATACTTCTTAGCAGAAGTTTTATGTACTCTTTTGGAATGAAGAGAGAACTAGCTCAATGCGGCTGTGTATTTTATTGTGTTAAAAACCAAGACGCGTCAAACATTCAAATACCAAATGTCAAATAAGATTATTTGAAATTCAAAATTAAGTCTTCGACGATTTTTTACATAAAGTCGGTATGATTGTGTAAACCAAGTGTCAAACAGAAATAGACCAAGCGGAAAACTAGAGTTTCTGCAACTGGAATTTTCTGATTTAATACTGATGCCCCTGCGTCTTCTTGCTTTCGCACAGCATTTCATCTTTTTTGCCTTATCAAATACCTACTGCTCTAAATGGTAAGAAATTGTTAATGTGCAGTTATGTTTCGTAGATGATGCAAAGTATTTAGTAAAAGCAAATGTTTCTATCAGGTGTTATGGCAATAGTAAGCCATGGTATTGCAGAAAGGGTTACCTTGGTGAGTCCGTGGAACAATAGATCAGCAGACAAATATGGAAGTTGTCTCAAGTTCAGGTTTCTAATGTTTGGACCTGGTGCTAAAGGATTGGAGATTCATCAACAACTTGAAGAAAGTCAGTGGCCGATTTGGAAAGATTCTGATAACATGGTGCCGTACTGGCGACATGGACAAGTTTCCCTGAGTTCTCTTGCGAGGAGCAAGGTAATACCAAAAAACCAGCACCTCGACTTCCTTTCTCTTTGAAAAATTTTATAGGTTTACTAAGTGGTTCAATGTCTATTGCATGGTTAGGTTGCTTTGTCAAACCAAGGAAAAATTCAACGTTGGTTATGTTTGGTCAATAAGCAACCCAGGATTCTTCTTAGATTCTTCTTAAAAGGTCGCTCGCCAAACCGATACCAACCACTGCGATCAACTTGTAAACAACAATTTGCGACCAAGTATTGTGCCGAAAATCTATGCAGTAGTACTTAGGATAATCTGGGACGGACGACCGTACCTTTTTATCCAAGATATACCCGTATTCAAATTTTAACGAGGGTAGGTTACATGTGTATCCCGGCGGTACTAGGCAAATTGCAGTATACATTGCACACTGCATCGTCATCGGAGTAAATGTCTATTTTATGACATTACCTTGGACGAAGCATGTAGCAGCTGCGGGAGTAAGGGTGTATGGGTAGATAATAAAAAAAAAAAATCTTATCTCGAATGACGAAATTCACCGAATTCTTTGCATCTGTATGCAAGGTTATCATTAAAGGAGACATGGAAAGAGTGCCTGGTTACATAGCTGTCGGAGGACTGTCTTGGGTCGATGGGTATTGTGAATCTCAGCCTGTTGGAGCAGCCAATCAAGGTAACACTCAAGTTCTACTCTTTTTACTGTGAATAGGCATTGGTGTATTATGATGATGTTATTACAAAAGAAGCAACATTTTTAAGTTTGCAAAACATGTTTGGACATTATTCAAGTCATCCTTAATTGCAAATGGTCGTTATATAATTCGAATTTACACTTTACAAATATGTCATGGAATTACAACGTAAGCTTAGTGATGTCAAAACATGTTTTCAAAGTTAAAAGTGGTTTTTCCTTTATGATTATTATTTTTATTATGCTTATTTTCTTAATGATAGCATTATATCTCTGCAGCATGTAGAAAAACACTGGTGGCGTCTTCTGGTTTTATCTTATCACCTTACTATCCTGGGTTCTATGCACCTAATTCCAGTTGTAATTGGCTAATAACCGCGCCAGTTAGTCATGTGATACGTCTTGAGGTACTGGATTTTCAACTGGAGCGTGACCCGCGATGTGCTACTGACCACCTTGAGGTGACTGATGGGAACACAGTAGGTGAAAAAAACTTGGGAAGATACTGCGGAGATGAAATTCCGAAACTAATGCAGTCCACAAAAAATACACTGCACATAGCGTTCAGGTCGGACATGAGCGTCCAACGAACAGGCTTTAAAATACACTATTCATTTAAAGGTTTGTCAGAACACTTTATTATTTTATGGTTATTACAGACACAGTGTCTTTTCCAATTTCGACCTTTCCTCGCACATTGTGCATATTATTAAAACTCTTCACAAATATGTTTAAAGATAATCAATTAGTTGCTAGGGTCCCATAAGTGAAATCCTGTCAATTATTTCAGTATCTCATACGTTGAGATTTTATTTTTTTGTTCGTAAACACAGATTGATCGTATAACTACCGCCCATCCCTCTTTTTTTCCTTCTCCACAGTACAAGCTGAGGATAGTGCATGTAGCAGCAAACGAGGTAATATCTAATGTCATCGGTATAACTTTTTAAGCTGAGTAAAAACTTTGGTTTCTTTGGTTTCATCGGCTAAGGAAGATGCCTATTTCTCAACTATCTGTAGAGTTCAGTATCTCTGCATTACAGAATGTTTATGTGAAGACTCTTTAATTGCAGATTTCTCCTATCTCAAATAATAATTGCTTCTAATCCTATTTTATTCACTTCAGATTGCCCATCAGGCTGTTCGTGCTTCCAGACAACTCTCGGAAATTTTTTTGTCCAAGGTTTTGATCTAAGAACTGTTCCGGGAAACATGCCATCCTACACAAAAGCCTTGTAAGTCTGTCATACTTTTTTGACACATGCGTGAGAAATGTCACAAGTTATTGCACTAGTAGATTGAAACTGCTGCAAATAAAGCTGGTTGTTTTCATGGAAACATTTCAAATTTCCTCTACCACAAGAATTGTACATAAATTCGTGTTTAATAACATTTCAGGCTCTTTGCAAACAACAGAATTAACCTGATTCAGGAGAAAGCTTTTTCAAATTTGCCGCTGTTGGAGTATATGTAAGTCTCTAGATCATCTTTTTAATTTTCAGCATCGTTTTCGCAAGTCAAAAAGTTTTTTTGTGGACTTTTGACTCTTTATGGCGATATATTTCGACAAATCTTATCAAAACACGATTACATAGATTTGTCAAAGAAGTTCTTATCAGACATTGTAGGGAAAAATTTCCTGACAGGACCACTGTCACTTTTATTAAGTTTGACATCATACCAATGTTAACAGTTATCATGGAAAATCGTAAAGATCGTGATTAGTCTAGAATAAGTCACAAGTATCTTCTTTTTTATCTTAGAGATCTCAGTAGAAATGTAATTCTGATGTTAGCTGATTCTTCGTTTCAAGGATGTCAGAATTTAAAAACCATGTAAGTTAAGCGGCTTTGATTTGCGTTACACTTACACCCTATGTAACTAATAAACATCCCCGCGTTACACAGAGATTTCTTTGTTTCAGCACGTGAAGCTCGCATGTTCGTCCTCAGGAGAAATTGTTATGTGTTTGCAATTTTAGTGTACTTGGCGTTTAAATCAGTAAATCAAGTGTCCGTTATTTTTACCGCAAGCCTGGTATTGCCAAGCCAGACCCGAACTCTTTGATATACATCGTACATCCCTGTTAAATCCTGGATGTTTGAGATTACCTTGAAATCGTCAAGTTATGGAAATTTTCTCTAATTCCTTGTTCTTACTTCCTTGTTATAACTCCTCAGAAGACTGACTGGAAATTTTGTCAGGAAATTGTCTTTAAATGTCTTTTCTCACCTTCACAATCTAGAAGTCCTGTGAGTATATTTTTTATAAATATTTACAAGAAAAAGGGAAGAAACCTTTATTACAACAACTATACCTTATATACCTTATATGCAAGATTTCCTCTCAGTGATATCTATTATATTGTATTTCTTCAAGTATAACATGCACAGCTGCTACTTATTTGCATTTTACTGTTTGCTAGTACGTACGTACGTACGTACGTACGACACTTTTTTCCAATTCTCCTTATCTGTTTTTTCTATGATAGAATGCTTTTAATGTTAACCTCGTAAAAATTTCTTGCGGAAAAACCAAGCAATAATTGTCAACATAATATTTTTGAAAATTTATCATGAATCACAGAGATCTTGGAGAGAACCTCTTAACTGTGATCCCAGAGGGAACATTTTCTCACTTGCTCAATCTTCGCGTGGTGTGAGTACAATTACTAATCATAAAATATTGCTTAATAGCATAAGAATACTGATTGTCAGTTCATATTGTCATTAAACGGCTAGATCAGAGCATCTGAATATTGAAAACATTAAAGTGTATCAACGTAGTTTTTAGTCTTCATTACCATCTTCCCTCCATCTGTTCGAGGATATTAGACAGTTTTAGATACAAGTTGTTTCCTTATGAGATGAGAGTAACGATTTGTCGCTGAATATCCCCAGTTTAAAACTTTTTACTTGGTCCTATAGATCTACCTGAATTCAGTTGCTATATTTTGCCAAGCAAACACGTGTTTTTAATTTCTCAACAGAAGTTTGAGGTCTAATGAAATAAGGTCTCTGGAGATGAAAATGTTTAGCCAGCGGAGTAATTTAACATATCTGTAAGTTTCTTCTGATCGTTTACCAATTTATCTTCACCCTAATTCTTTCCAGAAGCCTTTTGCGAAGTCATTATTAGGTTGCATAGTTCATTGTCCTATTTCATATCATCGTCATTATTCGCTTCGATTCGTTCAAAAAATGCGATCAAAAATGTATGATTGATCGAACGATCTGTGAGAGTGCGCTGTTTCATCAAATCAAACTCGGTGACTTTGGTGTGCACATTTCCTCATATCAATTTGATGACCACTCAGTTAAGCGACCACTCTGTAGACAACCTCTCGTTGTCATTTCTGGGGTGACTGCACCACCTTTGTGGTAAAACGTTTAACAAACTTCTTAGGGGAAAATTCTCCAGAAAAACCGTACCTCTGGGGAAGCATTTATTTGTATAGCTCAGATGGCTTAATTCCCTCTTAGGAAAATTTCCCTTGTGTCGTGCATCTGGGAAGCGACCATGTACGAGATCATGCGAAATACGTGTACAATACATCCGTATTTTTAACTTTTGGCAAAGTAACGTTTAAGATTCTTAGCAATTTGACCACCAACATATTTTAAAGTTCAAACATATAAGCAGTTCAACCATTAGATATTTTTTCTCATCAGATATCTTCAGGATAACTTGATTGAAGTAATTCCGGACAAATTATTCAACAATCTTGGAAACCTAAAAGTTCTGTAAGTATCTTTTAACATTGACATACTTCTCATCTCTCATCTTATGAGGATTCTCACTAGTGATGTTGTTAAGTAATGGTAATAGGACTGAGTGGAGTCCAATTCGGTCTGTAATCATACGAGTGCTAACAAAATCGGTCGACCGCGCAGCAGGAGTCCGATTTGTTTATCACCCGTATCATTACAAACCGAATTGGACGACATATCCTCTCTTTCTCCATTTCTTTGTTCTTCCACATACTTTCGTATTTAAAAGGGAGTAGCAAATGACCTGATTGTGCATTTATATGCAAGTGTAGTCAAATCTTGAAACTATTTCCATTCTTTGTCTTAGCTACCTGAACAACAATAAGATAAAAAGGATATCAATGCACACCTTTGAGGGATTAATGTCATTACACACTCTGTGAGTATATGTGTGTGTACCTTGTCTCTTTCACGCTTTTGCAAGCTTATTAATACCGTAAGGTTACTCATGAAAGCGTAGAAATGAGAATTGGTGGGATTTAAATAGAACTACCCTCATTGTGACTTTTAAGGCTTTACCACGATCACCAACGTTTTTATTTTTTACCTCAATCCGCAGTCTGCGTAAATATCAGGGGGAAAAAACATTTTTGTCATCATGGCTCACTAACCTTTTTTGCACACGTGAGCCATTCGACTTTGCATTATCTCAAAATATCTAAGAACAGAATGTTTTCGTCGGGATAATTCATCACGTCGGCGATTGACGGTATTCTTCTCTTGTCATATGATTCAGGTATCTAGACAATAACAGGATAGTGGACCTCCCTGCTGAAACTTTTCATGCTTTGGGCAGTTTACGAAAACTGTAAGTGATGTTAAAAAAACACATTTATCCCTCAGTTATATAATCAGAAAACTCAACAAAACTTTGATGACCTTGGCGCATCCTCGCCGATTCAACGGCTTGCGTATATTTTACCCACTCCTCGAAGGGTTCATTATTTCCCAAGGAGTAAATAACAGAAGGAGTCCGTTTTATTTTTGTTGGTAGTTTTATGATGAGACCATGTATCGATTTTTTCTCATAAGACAGCTCCAGAAGAGAATCACATGATCGCATCAGGGCCGTTCATACGAGAAAAATATCTGTGGCTGACATTAGATGCAAACCCTTCCGTCTGACCGATACATTTCCACTTTATTTTCCTCTCGCAAAAGGCCCTAGTGACTCTCTCTGGACTCAATTTACTTCCATTCAGCCTTTGAATAACGAACGATAATGCAGTCTTCAGAGTCATAAACAAATTTTCTGGCTAATCAAATGAACTTTACTCTGTCACATTTCTAGTTACGTTATATGATAACTAAAAATCGAGACCAAACAGCTTACAACGATAAATATAACAGTTTTGTGCTGACAGAATGACAAAAATATGCTTCTACTGCCAATGATAACCCCCCAACGTCAGAACGGCTAGTTTTTATTAATAGGTGATATCATTATGGGGGTAGGTGATATTATTATGGGGGAAGCCTGCAGACTTGCAATGAAGACAAATACTGCTTTCTTTCAGCACCATGGATCATTTCACCCACTGCTGTTATGCTGTTACTACAATTCCTCAATTACAGTGTGATGCTCCTGCCGATGGTTTCTCAAGCTGTGATGACCTCATGAAAAATAAAACTCTCCAGATATTCATATGGATTCTTGGAATCTCAGCATTCGCAGGGAATTTGATTGTGGTTCTTTGGAGATGTTTCTTGAAAGAAGATAATCGCGTTCACTCATTCCTGCTAACAAATTTAGCGATATCTGATTTTCTTATGGGGATATACTTATTAATAATCGCCATTAAAGACACTCAGTGGCAGGGAGTGTATTTCAAACATGACTTATCCTGGAGGACAGGTAAACTGTGTCAGTTCGCCGGCGTGTTATCCATGGTTTCAAGTGAGGTGTCTGTGGCAATGTTGACAATTATCACAGCCGACCGACTCATATGCATAGTATTTTCATTCAGATTCAGGAAGCTTTCTTTCAAGCGTGCATGTTTTTTGTGCACAGTTGTGTGGCTCTTAGGAATCACGATATCCACAGTGCCACTGATGGGAATTGATTATTTTAATGACACGAAAAAAGGTGTAGGTTTTTATGGTCGTTCAGCCGTGTGCCTTCCTCTCCAGTTGTCATCTGACCGACCAGCAGGTTGGGAGTATTCTGTGTCTTTCTTCATCGCCTTTAATTTCGTGGCTTTCATGTTTATGCTTGTTTCTTACATTGCTATGTTCGTTAAGGCAAAGAAAATTGGCGGAGCCGTCAGATCGACCAACGTTAGAAACGAGACTGCTATGGCGACAAAAATGATGTTCATAATCCTCACAGACTTTTTCTGCTGGATACCAGTCATCATAATCGGAATATTATCTTTAACAGGAAGACTGTATGATCCAAAGCAGCTTGTATATGTTTGGATAGCAGTTTTTGTTCTTCCTGTGAATTCCTCCATCAATCCTCTTCTTTACACATTTTCTACAACCGCCTCCAGGAAAAAGTTGAAAACTCTGACGGGAACGATGAGCTCATTTATAAGAAGAACTCATTCTTCAGGTGAGGCGATTTCATGAATTCAAACGACTGTTTTCTGTTATCGTTTTCTTCATCTCAATGTTCTGTGATCATATGGAAACGTTTGGGGATTTAGTGAACTTAGATCGAAATAAAGATTATTTCATTGTTTCGTGTTTTTGGTTAATAGCGTCCTCCCTGGTGACGAAATCGTGAAGTTAAGGGACGAACTTTCTTTTCGATAAAAGAAAGTTTATCGGAAAACTCAGCTATGAACTTTAGGGTTAACTCAAATATCCCTATCAAGCACCCATATGAAGAAAAGAAAAACGCCTTTTGTTGAGAAAATCATCCTGAATTGTGTAGACTACAGCCTGACAGTGGTTCACTTCAGTAGCAGATATGCACGATGAAAGGGTTTTTTTTCAGTGTTAATGCTAAGTTTGATTGGACTATAAACGATTGAATGGGTTAATGTAGATCGGAATTTGGAGATTTTCGCGAAATTTACTTTCGTTTGACACGAAAAACACGTCTCCTATTTTCGAGAAATAGAGTTATGTAAAAATGAGTTACATTGCATTACTTCACTTTTTATATGTCCAGACTTCTTACACAAAGTCTTGGTCTGGTTTCCGGAAAAAAATCTAATCGATTTTAACACGGTGCTATTGGAATCAAATAGCAGCAAAATACATATACAGTTGAGTTATGATTAAAAATTTAAACTTCATAATAATCCTTTCTACAGGAGGACGAGGAAGATTAGATACACACCTTGATATAACATTGTCAACCGTGACTCCTAACTTGCCTGACAGAAAAACAGCCATTGGAAAGACTGACGTGAAGATTATTGAATTTTGTGACATATTTAATGACTGCAGCTCCAATCAGTCTATGGTAAGTATTTAACCTGACATATCCACAGCCAAGTGAACGCATATTTGTATTTGTGAGAGCCTTGCCAGCTTGTTCTCCTAACAACAGATTTATACCCCATTCACACCAAAGCTTGGTCTCTCAAAGTCCAACCCTACGTCCCCGTCTTGAGAGACTGGGGCGCAGCCAATCCTCTGTGTAGTGGATACAGTGGTAAGGTAAGGTAAACTTTATTTTACCATGGTGGCCCAATGAGCCGTAAGGCTGATATCCAGAGCGCCCCTGGAGTAAAAGGAATAGTAATTTAAAAATAGAGGATGTAATAATTTAAAAATACAAAATGTTAAAAATTGTGAGTATTCATCAAAAATTTAAAGGAAGAAAGTGACTCCGCGTTCTGAGTATAACGAAGCAACAAATTAAAAAGGGCTGTGCCCAAATATTTAAAAGTTCGTTTCCCAAGGCTTAGGTTTGGTTTGGGCATCTTCTGCGAGTGTCATAGCTATGTACATTGTAGTCTCTAACAAAATAGGTACATAAATACTGAGGTACTAGCTTATTTAAGCATTTATAAACTAAAACACATTTGTGTCTTTTCCGTTTCATTTCTAACTCAGCCACCCTAAAACATTAAAAGTGTCTTTAGTGGAGTCACACCTAAAAACTATGCAAGCAGCACGATTTTTTAACCGTTCAAGGGTTTTGCTGGGGGTGGATGACAGTTCACCTCATGTAGTGTTGGTATAACACAGGATTAGCTCGATAAGGGTATTATAGGCGCACATCGCTGCCTTAAGAGTAAGGCAAGGTCTTATCCATGCTAAAAGTCCCAAACGCTTGTTGACTTTGTTACAAATAGAGTCGGTATGCTCTTTTCAGTGAAGCTGTTCATCGAGACCTCAAGATAATCGATATATGTCCTTGCCTTGGATCTGCAGAATAAAGTCTGATGAGTTTTGCAATAGTTGCTTTGTTCCAAAGAGTAGGCCTTTCGCTTTGATCAAATTAGTCTTAGTATTAGTCTGCTTCTCATCAACCACTGGTCGACTCGTTTGAGGTCTTGTAGATTTTCTCTGATGATGTTGATATCGAACCCAGTATAATAGATCACTTCGTCATCGGCATACATACTTATCGCCGAGTGTAGCAAACATTGAAGGAGGTCGTTTATGTATATCACAAATGGCAATGATTCCAGTAAGAAAACTTGAGGAACGCCGAAGTCTAGTGGATTACAGTAGGATTGATTAATTCCAGAACAAGCGACTTGAGAGGAAAAGGTTGCCTATTAGTCAAGGGATGACGCAGCGCAGACAGAGCAGACTGGACCCTATGCAGTCGACACCTTTTCTCTCTCCTAAGTCCACGTTCACATTCGGAACTTGGAATGTAAGAACTATGTTCTAACGAGAAAGGACAATTATTGTTGTAAATGAAATGAAGAGATACGGTCTGTCAATTCTTGGACTTCGTAAAACAAGATGAACATCATGTAGGGAAGTGAAAATGGCAGATGGCACTACCATCCTACACTCAAGGAACCAAGACGACGGAGCTCCTGACACGAAAGGCGTTGCCTTCATGATAACACTATATGCGTAAAGCCATGATCTCTTCGGAACCAATCATCTCAAGACGTATTACAGCCTACTTCAGGACCACACACAAGAAGATAAGATCATGGATAATACAATGCTATGTACCAAACAAATGGTGCCGAGGATGACGATAAGGACAACTTGTACAACTTACTGAGGCAGGTGATCAGCAAGTCAGAAGAGAAGGAAATGACGACGCCGGTTATGGAAGTAGCAGCAGAGGACAGGTGAACAGGCGATGGGCAGTGTGGGATATGAACAAGAATGGAGAACGATTATCTGATTTCTGTGCTGATTTCGGGAGGGTAATAGGGGGAGAATTTTTCCCCTCAAAAGCGCACAAACTCACTTAGGTCTCACCTAACAACACCGCAGAGAACCAAATCGCAAATGTGGAAGTGTGGGAGGAAGAACATCTGCCTCAGGAATGGTATAGAAGCTACATCGCGAAGCTCTACAAGAAAGGCAATCTCCGGGACTGTAAAAACCATCAAGGGATGTCACTGATGTTAGTAACTAGAAAGATATTTAACCGAATCATGTTATTGCGACTCCAAGAAGCAGGTGATGCCAAACTACGAGATAAGCAGGCTTGATTTAGGAGAGGAAGATCTTGGACTGACCAAATAGCTACATTACGACATTACGTATTATCATCGAGCTGTCAATCGGATAGAATACACCGCTATAAATTAACAACAATGACTTTGAAAATGCTTTCGATGGCCTCGACAGAAAATCTATTTGGCGACTAACGAAACATTACGAGGGAATCAACTCATGGAAAGAGTAACGGTATCCAATGGACACTGTGGCAACAAACAGACAAAGTCGACTTTGCCGACGATATTGCTCTTCTCTCCAGTACCAAATAACAAATGCGAGACAAGACAACTCTTTCAAAAAATGCCAGCAAGCTAGGACTACGACCAAATGTAATGAAAACCCAGATATTGAAGAGCAACTGCAACAACAAGACATCTATCACTATCAGGGACAACACCTAGGAGGATTCTTCATCCCTTGTCTAAATTGAGATTACTGTGAGCAGATTTGGTGGGACAGACAGGACAACAAATGCTAGGATAGTTTTAACATTTTGAAGAAGTATGTTCAGCCCACACAATGAGAAGTAAACCCAAACTGAGAATATTTAATTCAAATGTGGAGTCTGTTCTGCCCTACGGGTCCGAAACCTGGAGAGCGGCGAAGAAATCCACCAAAAATTACAGAAATTCGTCAATCATTGTCTCAGACGCATCTTAAAAGTCAGATGGTCAGATAGGATATCCAATTAAGTGCTGGGGGAAAGAACAGGAAAATAGCCAATTGAAAATCAGATTTTCAAGAAAAAATGTAAATGGAGGGTATACCCTAAGGGAGTATGCAAACAACATCACGAGGCAAGCAGTAAAATGGAACCCACTAGGAAAATAGGTCGCCCCAAGATCACATTTACAAGAGATATAGAGTCAGACATGAAAAGATAGAACTACATATGGCACCAGCTGGAAACGGCAGCCTCTGACAGAAGTAGATGGAGGACGTAAATCATCAATGGCCTACGCTCCACCAAGCCAAAAGTTAAACTAAAAGCACCAAAGTTTGGAAATGTTTTAAATCTGTTTCTTGAACTCGGCTTAATTTTTTTTTGACAAAAGCTGCTTAAACCAAGTTTGTTGACTTCAAATTCAAGTTAGTGTCTATTTGAAACCTCTGAAAAATTCAGTTCTCTCTTTTTGATTTTCATTCATCTAAACCTGGTTTAACTAGACATGTTCTGCTGGTGTAAATGGGGTTTTAAAATCCTGTAAGTTACATTTAGTCACAAACCCTCAGGTTCCAAGTTTTCCGGCTACCTTAAGTCTTAGCCGACTGCACTTTCATATGACTCACATGTATGCCATCAGATATTGGTTAGAACTAACCAGTTATATAACCTTTGTGCACAGGGATATGCTACTTGCTGGGTGGAAAAAGACAGTTTGGAAATGTGCCTTTTGAAGTACTTTACAAGATCCAAAGAGAAAGACTGGAAAAACGAAATTGAAATTTTAAAAGAAATAGCTAAAAATGGTGCACATGACAACCTGATTGCATTCCGCTGGCATTCAGAAGGTAAGTCCATTTTGATATCATTATTAGCTCGTTGGAAATCAAATAAGGCGATGCAATTGTTGTGCTATTTTTTCATTTCAGTGTGTGATGTCAACATTGGTTTTCAAAAGACCAAGCTACCATCCATAAAGAACGCTAGCTTGTAAGTAGTAAATTAAACTGCCCAAAACTTTTCTAAATTGTTTGAAACTATAATTCCTCGAAACAAACCAAAAATCGAAAAAAGAAAATCAAAAGAAAAAGAAAATAGGTCCTTTTTGAAATTAAGAAGTTAATATGCTAGGAGCTATCGCTGAGCCAAAAATGTCTTAAAGCTGGCTTTAGCTATTTCAAAATTAACAGGTTTTTCTTTGTAGGTTAATTTGCTTTGCCTTTGTGTCAAGCACCTCATTGAGCGATTTCCTTGACGAAGGTGTTGGAAGATGTGAACCAACAATTACCCAACTACTGATTGTACTTTTGGATGTTGTCAAGGCTGTTGAACACCTTCACAAAACAGGAATATGTCATAATAATATTTCTCCGTCCAACGTACTCGTTTCCTTCAATGAAGGGGTAAGCTTACCTTAGCTACGCAAGTCGATAAGATACAAGCTGAAGTTGATTCGATACACCTAGAAAGTTGATTCGATACACCTAGAAAGTCCTTTGGATACAACTACAGTCATTTCGATACAATTTAGTAACGGAGTAATTGGATTTTTCATGAGACTTCCGTTTTGTTTACACCGTAATGAAGCGGTATCAGTATGCCAATCTGCTCATTTCTTAGAAACCTACTTAATAGTAACCCATACTCATTTAACACTGTTCATATCACGGCTCTAAATGATTTGACGGGTTGGCGAGCGGCCTCTGCCTCTGATTGCCTCAATGAGCACATTTGATCAATAAATTCATCCGTCATGCATTTCCATACCTGAGAGATGATGTATTCAGTGAATGACACAGATATAATCGGAGGAAGAAACCTTCGAGTGCTCCCAATAGGAGTGGAACCAAGGACCATCTGGTTGGTTCTTCAGATGCTCTACCACTGAACTATAGGAGACTCATGGCAGGCTAAGCCGTTTAGCTAAGTCCATGGTGACGAACTTACTGTCCACTGCTAGAATGGGAATGTTAAATGTAATGCTTTTGCGCAATGATGATGAAAATAGAATTGGTAAATGTTAAGCTTAGGTCTCTTTACAAGCACTAGACACTTCTCACGTTGTCTTAACGCAAACTTCCTCTGACTTTTAGGTTCGACCAGTGAAAGGAGTACTTGGAAACTTTGGACGAGCCTTTTTGCTTAAACAAAATGACAACTCTTCCTTTTTGCGCCAAGAAGATCTTCGACAATTTCGCAAATTGATGGAAACAGTTGTTGGTTACAGCAATTCTGCACGGAAAACAAATGAGGTAAGTGTAGCAGTGAATAAACAAAGAATCGAAAGTATCTCATTGTTGATGGAAAAATGTTCTCACTCTTCATTGGGGAATTGTAGATCAAGGAGATTCTTGCACTGTGCAAGGGCAACGAGGACGACACACGAGACGCCACACATATCCGGGAAACACTTCAAAGAATAAGTAGCTCCCTAAAGGATAGTGCGAGGTTCTAACACAGCCAAGCATCGCAACGACAAAATTGTACCTACAGTTGCATCTAAATGAGAATCTCACAATGCATGCATGTATTAAACATGATTTGTTTTCATGTAATGACGTAACTAGTAATATTTCTACAGTCGAAAGGAACCATATACTTTTTTCAACCTTTATACACTATTATGTTGGATTGTAGATTAGTCGCATTTTTTTCCAGTAATTCCTGTAGTTACACACAGGATACGTGTTTACGCAAGGCAGTCAAAATTATCCAGACAACGCCGATTATTTCACTCTTTTGATCTTAAATACTCAATTGAGTATGTTACCTAAGAACCCAAGTTTTAAGCAAAATAATAGATCTTGGTTTATTAGATACTGCACAGGGAAGTTTGTTGAGAAGACGTTTAACCTTTTGACTGATTATTATTATTATCATTATCATTATTATTTTTTTTAGTTGACTTCTGATTGCGCCAAGCCAATCACTGGGTCGAGTCTGTCGACCTCGTTCTGATTTGTCTGACAAATAAAGGTCTATATCGGACAAATATCTCCGGTTGTGTTGAATGACTTTTCATTCAAAGAGATAATAATAGAACGAATGAAATTTATCTCCGAAAATTCTTTGAGGGGGAAACGAAGAGAGGAGATATCGTAGTTGCGAAATTTACCCATAAAACCTTGATAACCTGGTAAGAAATTACCCGACACGACTATGAGGACTAGGTTGTTTAAACCGGGATAATTTACCCTGCATCTTTACCCCAACATCTTTTTTATGACTTCTTCGTCGATTTACATTACATTTTTTTTTAATAAAAAGATACTATCTTTCTATTTGTGGTATTATCGAGTCATAAAAATTCAACCAAAACTGCGGCTTCAAAATGTACCACACTATAAAACCTTTGTGTATATTGCAGGAGTCTGTTGCTCTCAGCAGGTTTAAAAACGTTTTTCAGAAAAGTTCCGTGTAAAAATTATTCAAATCAAACAAGTGTACTATTGATAGGCTGAACTGAATAAACAGTTACTTTTCCTAACTGTGGATTGCAAACAGAATACTTAAAGAATGTCCAACCATGTGCAGCAGCTCCTAAAACACAGGGAAAACAATCAGAAATGTATTCTCAGGAAAGGTAATGGATTTCATGGTTCAAAATTTACAAATCAAATTTAACAATCAAAAACAGCAGAACTTACCAAACTCGCCATCCTTGTTGACTACTACCAAGCCCCCACTATACTTTGGGTAATATTTTGCTATTCGTGTAAGAGCTAGTGTTGCTGCTTCTGTTGGACTTTTACCCTGACGCATGAACTCAACTGCCTGAAAACTGCACCAAGAATAAAAGAAGAAAAAAATCCTCTCAGTTAAGTTGTGCAATTGTTAATTATTAAAGCTTAGACAAAAAGCGTAATTTCCTTCATTGGGAATAAACTGTTGGCTGATAAGAGCTAGTGGACAATGCTTAGTATGTTCTGGTAACCTAAGGAATAGCGGCCAGTGGCTGCATCAGTTCTTTCATTTTTATTTGGTTAGATTTTAAATATCAGCAATAATATAAATAGCTGGGTGCCAATATTTTCATACTGTCAACGAGCCCCTCTCCACAAAAGGTTCATTTATGACCAGGATTTAATCATTAAACCTGAAATACCTCTATTTGCAACCTGGCAAAAGTGGCCTTTTACCTCGGAAGAAATCGCATCATGATATCTCCATCGCCTGTTGCAGCAGCACCGCCTACCTCATTATCAACGTATGCTCCAGCTCCAGCAATGGGTGAGTCTCCCACACGCCTGTGCAACAAATAGATAAATAAAAAAAAAAGTAGTTTACTGGTAAAGTAAGACAGGAAAAGACTAAACAGCCACAGTTTTCTTGGACAACCATCTTCACTTCTAAGTGTTGGTCTGTTTAATGAGTTGATAGCAAAGAAAAAATATCAAAAGAAAGAAAAAGGAAAGGGACAATACATTTTCAGAAAAGCACTGGAAACAAACACATGAAACTACACACTGCCACATTAAAATGCTTCTAATTACCAGTACTTTGACTCGGCTGTTCTCTTACCCGGGAATCTTGTGGTTTGCTCCATTTGTACTTGTTCCTGCAGCAATGTTCCCAACTCTGTCCACTACAATCATACCTGAAAAATTAAATATGTTATCTATATTGAGTGGAAAAACACAAAAGTTTTCAGTTACTATCTTCCAGACTTGCATATTATTGGTCATTTATAAGCAAAAGGATCAGTCCATCAATACCAGCCCAAGTCAGGTGCAAAAAAGGCTCAATATAGGGATCTTCTCCTTACCAATTGTATCATGATTTTGCCGCCCAATGTCTGAATGTGAAGTCGGCCTTGAACTTTTCCGTTCCCTGTGGAAACCAATTATTAATTAATACTTAGACAATAAAGCCTATTCTTGCTCTCTGAGACTGTGGTTGACAGACAGAACATGAATTTTCACACCTTTACAGCAACATTCTAAGCTATATATGAAGGGTCTGGATATCGTAGAACATAGCACTGTTCTGAATGACTGTCATCCAGTTCAACATATACTGTTTGAACAACAGTAGTTCGGTCCCTGCTAAGGTTAAGTAAAGCTGGTTAAGCAATGAATCTTTCAGTTTGAGTGTGTTGAATTGATAAACTGTAAGCACTGTTGGTGGGTAAGAATAAACTTACCCTGTCACAGGTTTGTAAGGACCACATGACTGATGAGGATCAGGAACCACGTCCTTATAGCAAAGGAATGATAATCAGTTCTGAACAATAAGCATTTAGTTACTAGGCATCTCAGTAAGCAATACAGTCCTGACATCCGAAAGAAACTATAATCACATCTTAACTGAAGCCACATAGAGCTCTTCTAGAAATATACCACCTATATAATATGAATACAAGATACTATTTCAAATCTCCAGTTGCCCCTGCAGCATGGTTCAAAGTGACATGCAAATGCATTAAAGAAATAAATAAATAAAACAAAGAAAAATATTTTACCATGTCAACTTTACCTTCCAAAAGTTGGGTTGGCAATTATTCTTTTCCCAGTCTCTCCACATCTGCCTGAAAGTCATAAAATAGGGTTGTAGACAATAAAATTGGCTGATGTAGCACTCATCTAGTTCAGTGTTGTTTTAGCTGACCCATTCCACAGCTCATCAAAGAGCAGCCAAAGTAAAAGAGAGTACAACTTAATATGAAGCATGGTGTTAGGTTGTCAAAACAATACAGGACCCAAGATTATAAGTTTAATCAAGAAAATGCAAACCATAGAATGCAGCTTGAACTACTGACCGACACAAAAAACACAGGATTAATGCTTAACTCTCCAAAAATCTGTTGCATGTAAAAATACCATGGGCATTTGTGAAAATATTTCATCTTAATTATATTTTCTCATTATACTTTTACCAATAACAATTACAATTTTTTTAATTGCGTTAAATACATTTCATTATTGTTTATTCATTTCATTACAATTTTTCATTGTTTTTGCCTACAGAACTGAGTGTTAGAAGCATTGTTCACATGTTATTACTCTCTAGCTTGCATACCATGAGTGGTTAGTGTGCAAGTCTTCATTTGTGAATCCCATCTGCACTGCAAACTGGGTAGCTTTTAGAAAAAACACAACATATCTATGTTAAATGAATGATTGTCTTGTTTGATGCAGTACATCGTCAATGTCATCACTTCAAGATATCCTCTCATTATTTCACAGTGCCATAATTTCCTTACTCCACCATTCCACCTCTAGGAATGGTCTGGATTCTACTTTGTCTCCCAGAATATTCCAAACATTTTGACAATTGGGGAGTACCCACCAAAGCAGCCTCTTTGCTAGCTCTTGCAAGAGTCACCAATTTCACCTCATCCCACTTATATGAGCAGTCAGAGAGTAGTACCTTATGGGATTATTTAATATCTGTATCTGTAGTCTGCCTAAAGTTGCTATTGATACAGGACTATAACTAGCACATCACCAGCAAAAGTTGGTGAAAAGCATATAAGAAGAAAAGGCTGCTCACAATGTTATCTTACCATCATCTCCTACCAAAAATGTCTCTGAGGTGTGTTCCATGACACTGCGTGCAACTGAAATGGCTCTTTTCACTCTCTTTAGACAGCCAACAGCTCCAACATCATGTGTAACACTAAAAAGGAAAAAAGTGAACCATTTGACCCCTCAAGGTGTAACACAACATAACATTACAGCCCTATATGGTGTCTGAGCTGTAAGCTGACTATATATCAGACTTACTGGCCTTAATTACTTACTATGGAAAATAATTTTTACCTCATTAAGAAACTGCATTAAAATATGAGATATCTTAACCATGAGTTACATAAACCCTTGTAATCAACATACATATAAGTTGAGAAAATGTACCATAACTAATTACATTGATTATTAATTTCAGTGCATTGGATTAGGTTTACAAAATGGTAATGACCAAGGGGAATCTATGACTCACACACTATTTTACTGTCATGGCCCCACTTTGGCAAAAAGTGGGGAAAATAATGGTTAGTGGTAAATTTTTCACAGCCTTGATCAGTTTTTTGGCAAATTGAACTTTGCCACGACTAATTCCGTTTGCTTTCTTCTATCACCAAGAGAGTCCTAAAAAGCCCTGTCTATAAATGTGGCCCCATTTGGTGTGTGAGTTGACATGCTTATACCTTTCTTTTTTCACTTGTGCATAACAAAAAAATTTAAGGGTTCCTCCTCTCCCTCAGGTCACAATCACAGTTACATGCATGTAACCAAAGATTGACTGCTAATGTTATTAACCCCACTCATTTATGAGTTCCTCTGGCCATGGACCCATCTTTATTTCAACACCATCAAAGTTTCAAGGCAAACTTACCCATTCATAATCATGGCATCTAATGTTGTCTCTCCATCTTCATTGGGGCTGTCAACATGAACATAATAAATATCAGTTATAGACATTTTTCTTGTGGTAAACCATGAAAAACGTAGAGTAAAAGCCACACATAATTTTGGCACACTGGGTGGACAAAAAATCTGAGGTGTGGCTCACAAATGAAACTCAATGTAGCTTGGGTTTCATGGACCTCACTGTGATTGATTAGTCATGGTGCAAAAAATGTTTATGAAAGAACACAGAAAAAAAGACTAAAGGTATGTTGCTGATGATCTCTTCTTCAGTTAACAAATGTGGTTTTGGCCATATTCCTACATCACTCTTTTCATCTCTTCATTGTCACCTTTAATGCCTACAAAGAGATGTTAACAGTTTAAGTCTTAATCACCCTTGATAATTTTGCAAGACTAATGGAATTTAAATTGGAAGTTTAAATTAAAGTTATTCACTTTAAATTTCATATCTTCCCAAAATGGATACAAATATTCAAAATGTCAAAATCAGGCTTGTTAAGAGTAATCATATCGTCAGAGTAAACATAAACATTTGCAGAACTTCAGACTCACCTAGCAGTGTCCATTACTAACATCAGCCTATATTTTTATGAACTAACCTTCCACCAAACCCTACAGTGCCATCACATTGCTCCATTTCACACACTGTGCATCCAGATTCAACCGCATCCAGCGCACTTCCTTTGTCACTTGAAATAACATGCCAAGCTATTCAAAATTGAATAAATACAAAGGCAAGTTTTGCATTCAAATTGCTATCCAGTTTATAGATAACTCAACGCATATTATGTGGGATAATTTCTGATGACCAATTACTAAAATAAAAAATGTGCTGCATTTTTTCAAAGACCTAATTTATTATAAACATGTAAAAAATGATGAACAGATAACAAAAGCAGTTAAATGAGTAAATTAATGTGTACATATGATTATACCCAGTCATAAAAATACAACATATTACAATATAGAAAATATTCATTAAATGACACTATTACATGTTATTTCTTTGGTTGATTCCTTTCTTGTGTTTGCATGACCAAAATATGTTTCTGTGACATGCATTTTTAATATATTCTGTGAATACATGAGTGTTAATCAGTAAATGTTTTTTAACAGTTTTTGAAAAAAATTGTTCCAAAAGTATTCTTCTAGTAGTCTGTGTGTATGTCATATTGATTGCATTGGCTACTGCATTCTCTATCCAAGACAGGAAGATGGGTCTGCAACACTTTCTTGTGGCCTATTATGGAGTATCCCAATTTCTACATGCATTTCGTGTAGAATAAACACTCTCCCAGAGGCTTGTGTGTAGACAGAGAAGAAGCAAGTGACTGGTGGAATACTTCATGAATACTAGAAAGGAAGACATCTTAGATCAAATGCCTCCTGATTTCAGATTGCCAGAGGTTGAAATATCAAAAACATGTCAAAGAATGGCACAGTTGCATCAAGTAGAAGAATCACAAAAACAACAATCTTTGTTGGCAATGAAACTTCAGTTCATTTCAGTCAAGTTTGATTGTGTGAGTAAGATCTAAATCTTGAAAAGCAAGTTTGTTTCGCAGTTTCTCCTCTTGTATCTTGTTTCAAACAAAGCTGTAAAATATGCAAACTCTCAATTCATCTGACAGAAATTGGAGTGCATAGTACACTGACATCATCTAGTGAAGGAGCACCATGAAAGGAATTAACCCTTTACACCCTAACATTTGTATGCATATTTTCTATGCTGTTTTCTCCACATTTCCTGTGGCACTAACAAGGAGAATTTGTTTAACAATCAAGAGCTTCTTTGGTTGGTGATCATTTCCTTTATTCTTGTGACCTTAGTGTGTGATTCAGGGGTGATATTGTAAGGAGAAATTAGACAGTAGCAGGGCTGTAGGGAGGAATGGTGCATTCACACCCCCCTGGGCTAGGAAAGTTTGTTTACCACATACTGTCAATTCAAAAGCAACTTCAGAATGCAGTCTCAGGTAGTCTCATGCTCCTGGACCCCAAAGAATCTTTTGTCTCTGGTGTAGAAAATTCCTGCCTTTGCCCTCCCCCCTTACATGTGAAAAAACTTGTCTATGGGCCTGGCTAGTCACTTAGTATGGCGTCCAAGGATTAATTAGGGAAGTTACAACTTACTAATTATTTTCACACAAGGGGAGAGAAATGCAAACATATTGAGAGCCACAAAACATCATTTGGTGGTTTAGATTAAAGCCAACCATTATACCATGATGTTTGAAAGGAGAGTATTTTGAAGGATGGATTGAAACTTGTCAATTTTCTTGCTCTCAGCATGAGGCTTCCAAGCTCAGTTGGTAGTAGCTCCCAACTAATATCTTGGAGGCACTGGTTCAAATCTCTTCAAAGCCTGATTTTTTTCAGGCTTATCTTCTGCAATCACTTAAACTGCAGTCCACCAGCAATGGTAATTTATTTGCTCACTTGTTGAGTTCTGTTCACACCCCTTTGTTTCTTTGTTATATCTGTCTTTTTTGTCAATCAAACATCGAAATGTGACAATAATTTGTTAATTCCCTTGAAAGGTTGGTACTTTGACACCAAAAGTTGAGACTTGACTGACATACCATATTTTCACAAATAAGTACCAGCACTCTAATAAGAAACCTCCCACAAATGAGCAGCCCACCCCTTGGGCCATAGTTTCAAACAAGTGCCCCCATTAAAAACCGCCTCCCCTTGGCCTCTTCCCTCACTTACTTAAATAGTAGGGATACAAGAAAAACATGTCTCTAATTTGCCACTTTATGTATAACTACTTAAGCTTCAACTGTAGCCACATCAGTACAAGGCAATATGTTCTTCTCTATTGCAGTTATTTCTATCTCCATGTGCTCATTGAGTTCTATATATGTGTTATCTGTTCTTTTAATTTTTGTCCTATTGCTGCACAATTGAGCTTCCTCCTTCCAATTAGCACCCCCCCCTCCCTCCCAAGTGCTTATTTAAGGAGCTATGGTCACTGAGCATTCTTCTCAGGTCAAAAATTTATCAGAGATATAACCATGCCTGTATAAAAAAAATATTTTTCTTTTCCAACCATAAATATGAATTCTAATGGATGTTTGACTGTAGATGTTCGGCTAGATCTTGAAGTATATTCATTTATGGGTTTTGATGATGCAAAATTTTGCAGAAAGCAACTTGGCTTTTGTCAGGAGTCACTGAAGGGCAAATGGATCAACCCTTGAATTTATTAAAATAATAAGTAGCATGTCAGGGATATTCTGCCAACTACTACATTTGTTAAACTATTTGATCAATATCATTGCAAAACAAAGCACTATTGTTGAAGTCTCTTTCTCTGGATTTCTAAAAACTTTTAACACGTTTTGATTAAGGAGCACCCCCCTGGCTATATACACACTTTTTTATGTTGCAATAGACTACTATATCGATCTTTGCTTTAATTTGATGGAAGTTTCATGCAGTTTCATAAACATCTGTAATTTGGTGAAAATCACCCTGGTTTTCCCATGTGTAGACTGATCAATATTCATGATATCAACATGTTTTTTTTTCCATTTGACGGTTTGAGTTTGAGTTCCTTTTGCCATATTTGTTCATTCTTCTAATTTTGAAATATACCAATAAAAGTTTGCTCTCATTTGATGTAAGTTTCATGGGAAGGATAAACATAACGCCTGAGTCAAATCGCCACCGGTGGCGATTTGACTGTCAGTGGTGGGGAGTCAGGTGGGGGCGAGTTTGGTGGTGGCAAATAATGACTATAAACACTTGAAATGTTGTGAGAATAGCTAAAAATTCTTTGAATTACTCAAATTTGATTTTTGATCTTCGATTTACTTTTTAGTTCTGCCAACCTTCTAAGTGGATCACTGCTTCAGTTATACAGTAAGCTTATAGTGCTCGAATAATTAAGCTTGTCGATTGTATGCTTGAGCCTCTTTCATATCCTACCTTCAGCTGTTGCATTTGTAAAAGGCCATGTATTTATCACAACTGGGAGACTCTTGGGGGTCGAAGTTTCACCATATTTAAAAATTTGTCCTTCCACAAACAAAAATAAAACTAAAATTACTACTTGACAATATCGACCTGACACTTCCTCCATAATGGCTTTAATCGAACCAATCTTCCCACGGTCGATCACTTCTGCTGCATTCACGCTTTGCATGCCTACAATCTAATATAGTTTTTTTTCGTTTTCTGTTTGAAAGCGTTTTCCTTTTTTTGTCCCTCTTTCTTATCCTTTTTTTGATATAAGATTAATATTTACTTTCCTTCGTACTTGAAGCAAAGTGAATAAATTCAACATTAATTACGATGAAGGACGAAAGCGAAACTGAAAACAAAACAAAAGAATCTGCTTACGTGTACCGCTTACATAATTGGCTAATCTTATTGACCAATGATAAAATGGGATCTGGGTCGAACTAACCAATCGAGACCCTCAAAACAATATGAACTGAAACTTGGCGCCCAAAAATCAATCTTTTTGTTTACATCGACTCGACTGTTATTATCATGGAACTATGAAGTTGGGTGTGTAAGCACAGTAGTGATAATCATACCTATGAACCTTTAGAAACTGCTTCTCTTCTTCTCGTCGTTCAGTTGTACTGTTATAGAAGTCCTGGAAACGCACAAATGAGGTACGTAGAATACTTGCACTGACCTAAGCGCATTTTCATCATACTAATATGGCGACTAAATTTCCCAATACTTGACAGCTGAATTTCGTTCTCTTCCCGAACACAGTAGTTTTACCGTAGTCGATGAAATAGAGAAGCAATCAGACGCAAGCTTTTCATGAATTTATTTGTTGCATTAAAGTTCATTTCGCCGGTAAGAGAATTTAATACACGGCTGAATTGGCATTTTTTTCGCCGATTTCGAAACGTCTCGAAGATCAAATCTCCATTGTGTTTATGTTTTTTTTGTCATACCTTGGTAACAATCAATTCAAGTTTCACCCTTTGAAATACGAAAACTGGCGTCGATTTTTGCTATAAGTCAGCACAGACTTGTTCACCATACGTTCATACTCGTATGAAGAAATGATGGAGCTCAATTTGCAGAGCCGGGGACGCCGATCTATTTATGTCTTTGTTGCTCTGGCGTATTCAGCTATCCTAGCTTGTGTTGTCGACTTAAGCATTTTATTTTGATTTCTGTTGCTCATGGTTTAAGCGTTAAATAATAGTATTGGAGTGGTGAGTCTTTAAAAAACGTTCATTTTTTAGTCATGGAGAACCGTCTACGATCGAACTGACAAGATTCTCCAAAACATGTATCTGTAAATTCTGAAATGCTTAATTATAAAACCGTTACGTAGTTGATGTTCCTGTGGTCATTGCTCCTCTGGTAACATTTATTTATGCCGGGGTGATCAGAAACTTTGATTCTCTAAAATGAATGATGAGATCTTCACTTCAATTTTCATTTTAAAAACCCTCAGTGCGTACGTAGGTCAAGGAAAATTTTTGAAATACGAGATTCTTGTTCAATATCAAGGTTCAAATGATATTGAGGCTAAAAGGTCACAGGAAATGTATGTTTGACTTATATGGATGTGTTTGTTAGTCAACTTTTCAAGTGCCTTGTGGCTGTTTCACTTTTAAGAGCTTACATGTAGTTACACGTATTTGAAATTAGTTTCAAGAAGTAGCATTTACGACATGAAATAATTTGTAAAGCATGCCAGTGAGGAAAATTAGGGAAAAAATGATCGGTCCCCATCTCTGCTGAGTTTATTATGTGTGCATCTAGGCTACTTCTCTAATTCTTCTAATTACCATTAGCAGTTTGAAATGAACAGTTAAAGTGAGATCAGTTGAAGGCTGGGACCTCCTGGGTGGAGCATGGGGATATTCATAATATAACGTTTAGGCTAGTTTTACTGATATTTAGAGACAAAAGACATTATTTGACATAGTATTTATTTTAGAAAATAATGAAAATATTCCCCAAAAGATTGAATTTGAAAGGAACAGAGCTAGCTAAGTTACTGAGCATATGTGAAAACCATATCTACAAAATTGCAGAATAGATACTTGAAAAGTTTGTTTTAAATCAATATATAGATATGAAGTACTCAATTCCAAATTTAAAAGATAATTAAAAAGAACGATAGAAGAAGAAATTTGGTGCAGTGATAGTAACTTTCATTTCTTGTAGACTAAGTTAAGGTTTGTCTACAAGAATGATTCACTGTTATAGTGAACAGAGATATATGCTAAGAAAAGCACTTCTTCACTAAAGATGATGACTACTAGGAAGAGCAGTGTTGAAGTTGTCATGTATGTAAAAGAATAAATTTTTAGGATGGTAATGAAGTAGAGAAAGATGTTATTCAATGCATTGTTACAAGCACGAGACAAAGAAAAAAAATTCTGAGTGCCTGTGAGGAATTGAACCTCAATCTTCTTGTTTTAAAATCACAATGTAGTCTCAAATCCAACTTTTGTGCAAAAATCTGGGAAATGTAATTTTTGACATTGAAACTTTCAAGAATGGAGGATTATAGCTCTTAAGCCACAAAAAACATCTCAGGCCTAACTTAGGCAAGCCATGTTGTAGCTTCCAGGACAAGTTCTGCTCTAGAGTGCTCAAGGAAAGATCCTGAGAATAAATTGTTCAGTATGGATATTGTGTAAACAAATATTTAATGATAACATATTTGTACAGGACAGCCCTTCAGTAGATAAGTAATGTCATGAAAGGGATGCTTAGTTTTCTACAAATGCCCAAATCCACTCCTGACTAATTATGAAATATGTGTAAAACTTTGTATTACATGATTGGTTGATTATTTGCCCATTGATTTAAAAAAGGGAAAAGCATTGACCAGATTTTTTGTCAAAGTTTGCCACATTGCTTTCAACTCTTGGTATCTTAGGAAAGCTGTTTAAGTGTTTAGAAGCAACAGTATTTCCAATCATGCTTCAATGTGGTAGAATAGTTTTCAGAATTTCTTCATCCCACATGTATTTTTGCAAGTTCAACATTTATATGCAGTTATATCTTTCCTATAAACAGGAATTGTGTGTGGCTGACTGAACTTGCAAAATTAGTGAACTAATAAATTTAAGGTAAGCAAAAAAAAAAAAGGACACAAGTTCTTCTTTGTTATCTGTGACCCTAAGCAATGTCTGTTTTGTTTGTTGTTCAGTAAAAGTGATTTGGTAAATTGTAAATTTCAAACAAAACTCGACATTTTACACTGTATAGACACCAAAATACTGTTATAAATACTACTGAATAGGTCTCATTCACAGCTGTCCTTTTGTCTTATACACAATAGGCCCTTTCTGTTAAGTAGAGAGTATGCATTTCCTAACATCACTTAACAACCACCGCAAAGGGGACTACAGCTTTACATAGTCATTATAGAAATTATCAGAGACAACTTTTTTCTAATTTCTGGCATACATATCTGTTATCACTTTATAAAGTGAGGTGCTTTGGTCTTTAAAATATTGATGACATATTGAAAGGTTTTTTGTTTTTTTTTCCAATAATTTTTACCAATTTTCAGATGATAGTTTCCTGTGGGTTGAATGTCAGCAAACTGCTCAAAGTGCTAAATGAGGGGCTTCTGAAAGAAGAGACACACCTTGCTCCCCTCATGTGCTTGGCTGGAAATGAGGTTTGTAAATGCACATTTATCAATCAAATATTGTAGTAGGTCATGTGTAAATTATTATTTTTGTAATTTTCCTTTTAGGAGAAAATGTAACTGAATACTGTGACTAGAACTTTTGGCAAATTTTCATGTGTAATTGCAGACCTTTAAACAGAATGGCAGAAATTGTTTGTAAGTCAGAGGGTTCATAATTGGTCTCATCTGAATTTTATAGTTAAACTGGTACAAAATGAATGTGTGCAGAAGGATTGTTTCAGGATGAACAAGTCATTAATGCAGAGGGTTCAATGTCATGATATAATAACAAGACATGCAAAAGGTACTCAACATTTGTTGTCTTTTTTCCTGCTAGGATTCAGATGGAATCAGTCTTTCCAACCGAGACAACAGCACAGTTTTTATACTCAATTTGAGCAGGCATTGTGGATTTCACTCAGAGACATTCTCCCTTTCTGTAAATTTGCTTGACCGTTTCTTATCAGTTGTAAAGGTGAGTTATTTGTTGCTGTGTACTGTGTTCATGTAGATATCTCTCCTATAGAATGCTTAAGATGTAGAAGTTTAAGCAATTAAATTTGATAAATTCAGGGATACCTTGAATTAACAGTATGTGTCTATATTTGAATATACCGTCATGTAATTTCTTTTCTTATCATTTTCAAAATTACAAAAGAAATGGTGTACAATTTAATGGAATTGAAATGTCCAATTTTTATTTAAAAAATTACAGCAATGCAATTTATGAATATGCTATCAAGTAAAAGATAAGTTTGAAATCCATCAATTACTTTTTCAAAAATTAAATGTCTAAGTTGTTTAAGATGTGCTAAGTTGTATTTTCAAGATATGAAGAGTTTTTTTAATAGAGGTTTTCATGATCATACTTATCTTTATCTTTACATGAAGGCCAACCCTAAGTATCTTCCATGTATCAGTATTTGCTGTCTGTTCCTTGCTGTTAAGATGTGTGAAGAGGATGAGGTACTAAGCTTTTGTCATTATCCTTTTAGCTAAGGTGTTTAATTAGCAGTAAATGTTGTGTTGATGATTTAGTATGTAACTGTACCAAGAGTTAAAAACAATTTTGAATTAATAAACCATAGTCACCAACAAGAAATCAGTCATTCCCTGTTCAAGTTTTTCGCCCATAGTTATACAATGTACAATGTGTGTGCTTTTGTAGGAGTACATGTAGTTAACAAGCAAATTGCTGTGTTGAACTTCTTTAAGACAAATGGTTAACAACACTAACATTTGTTTCAGCTCCTTCTGTTTATGTAAACAGGGAATGAATCTTGTTAACCTTTTAATGCCTGAGATCTCATTAGTAATTCTCCTTACTGTCTGCTATGCAATTCCTGTGATGCTAGTTCTCAGAATTTGGTACTGGGTCAACTAGAAAATCCTCAAATTTACATTTTGATAATTCTTATCACCTGTCTGATTGACATTGTATTGATATCATAAGGAGAAATTCTGTCTTGGTCACTAATGAGAGTTAAATTGATTTGACGAGGAGCACTGTATGCTTTAACTGTGCAGGTGAACCCTAAACTGAGGATACTTGCACACAAATGCATGTATGTAAACACATATGGTAAAACTGCTTGATGATATTCCATTTTTTGTTTAATTTTCTCTGCTAGGATGTTCCTACAGCTGCTGATTTGGTCAAAGTTAGTGGACTTAACTTTTCTTCATCAGATCTGCTACGAATGGAACGAATCATTCTTGATAAACTTAACTGGAATCTGAATGCTTCAACTCCTTTATATTTCCTGCAGGTGGTAAGTAAAGTAACATTTGTTTGAAATGTTTATGGGTGCATACCTAAATAATAATATACAATTGATAACCTACAGACAATATGCAAGCTTAAATGTCTAATGTCTTCTTTCAGTTTCATGCCTTGTGTGTTTCAAAAGGATTTCTAGACCACTGTCCAGTGAACCATCATTTACAGCATATCACCTCGCTCTTAGAAGATCTCCTTTGCTGTCATAAGTTTATGTTTTTCAAGGTAATTATATAATAATGGAAATTAATACCCTCACCACAACTTTAATGTAAAGATGATACAGGAGCACCTTAAACTAGAGTCATATGAATCCATTGAGATTGAAAGTTTGGATAAAAAATAACATTTAACACTTTGATAGAGCTTTTGACTAGTAGGAAAATACTACTAAGCAGGTCACTAAATTCTGATTTAAAATTTAAAATCTCTTTATTTTTTAGCCATCAACATTAGCACTGGCCTTGTTGAGTTGTGAATTGATGTATGTCAGCAGCAACTGGCTCCTGGCAACGCATTTTCTACAAGAACAGGCAAAGGTAATAGTGTTCAACTATATATACTGGAGTTAAAGATCTTTGGATGGCTAACAGAACTGATTACTTAAAAATGTATATGTTGGCTAGAGGCACCCATACCCACCATTTTGATGTTTTAAGAGTACAGATCTTAAAAATTGAACATATTGCTTTGAACACAAAGAAAAAATTGTACCGTCCTGTTCGCTATCCCATAGCACAAGTTTGAATAGCATTTATCAGCTTAAAAAGGTAGTTTTTCATGTTCAATTAATTGCTGATTATTTTGCTTTTCTCTTGTTTCTTTAACATGGCAGATTCCTGATGCTGAACTTTGGCAGTGTTGTAAACTACTTAATGACCACTTCAAGTCTATTTCAAAAAGTCACTCAATCAAAATGAAGACACTGACATTAAGTGATAGACAAGATCCCTCATTCCCTGCTTTGATAGGGAACTAATACTAATCGAGGTGATCACAGTATCTAACTGGTGGTGTGGTTTAAGCTATAGCGTATGAAAAGTCGTTAGTGTTTCTTTAAAAAAATGCACTCATAGCTGTGTTTAATAAGTCATTTTCATCTTAATTTACACACGTGTCAAGAAAAGTCTTAACCTTAATGTATGTGTTTTGTGTCCTCCTAAGGCATTTGAAGAGTTTTGCTCTCCATTTGTTTTTGTTGTGTAATGCAAGTTTTATGACTGGTTGGTGCGCAAGATTTCTTTTTATGGTGGAGAGGAATAGAAAACTTTTATTGTACTTTAGGCATTTTGTTAAATGTATGTAAATATTTTAGTATGGGATGTAGAATAAAGGATTTTATATCAAGTAAGAGGCTGATATGTTATTTTTATTGTGTATAATTACTTATTATGCCGTCCCACTACAAAGAGTCACTTTGAGTTAACACCAGCTTTACTGGTCTAAAGTTCCAGCTTGAACTGCAAATGTGCCCTGACTCTCCTATTGACAGGCCTACCTCACTGCTCCTCTGTCACTTTGCATTGCTATATATTCCTTCAAAGGCACTTAACAGTTAGAATAGAAACAATAAGATGGAAGCTGATTTTCCTTTTTTTTCTTGAAGTTTGCACATACAACCAAAAACACTATTTTCAAATATTATTGAATTTTGTTTTTTTTTTGTATCTCTTTGCACATGAGACATAAAACAAAAGTTTTTCCTTTGTTTGTTTGTACACAAACTGAAAAAAAAGAGAACTTTATTCTCATTTCTTCTGGTTTTTGTTTTAAGTTTGTACTTACAATGAAGAATTGGAAGCTGATTCTGTTTCTTCACTCTTTGCCTCAGGTAAGAGGTGAATGGAACATTATTTCTAAACTCTTGTTAAATTCAATTTATACCAAAATTAAATTTTAACTCTTGTTTTTGTTTGTCTTGCCTTTCCAGCTTTTTCTTCACTTACTGCATTCATTTCTCTCAAACAATAACTCTTAAAGATATGTTATTTTTAGCTCTAGCCATGTCTCTTCTTGGTATGACCCTGTTTTGTGCATTTCTTTCTTTTTTTATGCTTTCATATAAAATAATACTGATAATTCAACCAAAGCTTCCAGAATCCAGAAATCTTGTTCACTAAGCTTGTTTCTAAAAAAACATGGCTTCAGTGCAACATACTCTTAGCAAAAAGATAGCAAATCAGGCAGAGGAATACACAGGTTGACCTTTACTCTTATTTACAATGAGATTTGTTCCATCTTAAATGAAATGTCACATCCCCTGGCCTACAGACTGACCCATCTTCTTATCTGCCAGGGGCCCGACCTCCATGAATACTGCCATCTGGCGTTGATTGAGATTCATCCATTTTGTGCTGCACTTGTCAATACATGATTCCTGATAAAAACAAATTATAATTTTAAAAAGTCCTGAGCAGAGTATATTGGAAGTGGTCAAATCTTGGTGAATTTTGGTCTATGGCCATCATTCAGAAAACATGATGTCAAGTTGTATTTTTCTGAAACATTTTTCAAAAGTTTAAGTGAGCAAGATAGGCAATTTTTGGATGATTATGTTTCCATTGGAGAACTTGGCACTATTCTATGAAACAAGCCACAAATGAAAGGCGTGTAAAAGCTAGATGCATGAAATCAGTTGTCTTGAATGCAGTAGGTGATGAGTGGGGTCAACAAAAGATTTTTGGACTGTATCTGATTACATCTCAAGTTAACCAACGCACAAGAATGAATGTAAAATAAAATGCTCCTTTTCTTGGTATTTAAATACCGTGCATTGCACCCCATTAGACCAACACAGACTTACTGCTTTTGTCACAGAAAGGGATTTAAGATTCATTCTCACCTCTTCTGCAGTAACTTTACGATAATTCATATTTGTCACACAAGCAATAAAACAGTTCTGAGTAAGCTTGTTGTACAGCTGTAAGAATTCTTTATACTGAAAATAAATGAGAAATTGATCATAAATTAAGTTATACATCTACATCAGGGACATTATTGGACAATTTACTCAGTTTAACTCATTCAACCATGATTGCTAGAAATATTTTAACTGCCCTGAGATGTAAGATAGCTCAACTGTAATAAAAAACGTTGTATTTATGGTCTTAATGTGGGTGTGCCCTGATCTGCAGGTTTACTTTAAAAAGTAAATAAAATAGTACCCTTTTAACGACCACCTCTTTACATTGTCCATCCTTCACTGACAAAAATAACCTCTTAGCAACAGCCAGCCATTCAACAACAGATAAAGGTTCTACAATGTATACAGAACTTGATTTGAAATGCCCCTTTGTTTGAGAGATCACAGCAGAAATGATGTCACTTTATTGTGATATCAACTCATCACAAGTGATTTAACTTATCAGAGTAAGTTCAACATTTAAAGCTTACATAAAGTGCAATTATAAAAGTTTTGTTTTGGATGTTACTTCTTGGGTATATAACCAATTGGTAACCTGTCAGTCACCTGTCAGTAGCCTGTTGGTCATCTGTTGATCAACAGTCTGTGGATGTGTGTTTGCAGGGAGCTGTTCTTCGCAATCACCCAGAAATCCACTTTCTTTAACAAAAAAGGATATGAAGAGCATTGCTCTTCTAAACCTTAACTTTTTATATCTGCATTAATATGATCTGAGTTTAGTATGTAAATGCTACAATAACCATTATGTGGAAAAAAATTTAACCTCATGTGAAATCTGGA